AAATGTATGCGGATTCGTCCAGTTATGGCCTAGGGGGTTGTCTTTGGCAATTACAGTCAGATAAAGAATGGTGGCCGGTATCATTTGCTTCAAGATCTTTAAATGAGCAAGAAATGTGCTATGAACAAATTGAAAAAGAAGCGCAAGCTTTGACTTGGACATGCGAACAATTTTAAGAGTATCTCATCAGATTAAAGTTTGAGATTTAAACTGATCAAAAACCATTAGTACCATTGCTAGGTAACAAAACTCTCAGTGAATTACCACCCTGGATTCAGCTATTCAAACTCCGGATAAGCAGGTTCAATTATTCGATTTCACATGTTACCGGGAAAGATTTAATAGTAGCAGATGCACTCTCCTGTGCACTCCTTCCTGGGGCATGAGATTCTAAGTTTGTAAAAGGAACTGAGTTGTATGTAAAAACAGTCATAAAAACACTCCCTGTTACTGATATTGGTCTCATGAAAATCAAAAGTGAGCAGGATAATGATGCTATTTGTCAAAAAATCATTGGGTACACACTTAACAGTTGCCTAAAAAGACCAAATGTAACAGCAGCTCAAATGGCATATTATCCCTTTAAATCAGAATATTCTTGCCCTGAGGGTGGTCTTTATTGAGGGGGTCTAGAATTATCATGCCAAGTAGCTTCATATTAGAAATGCTTGGTAAATTGCATTAGGGTCATCAAGGTATGATAAAGTGTAGAGCAAGAGCTCAGCAGTCTTTGTGAACAGATCTAAGCACACAATTAGCTGATGTAATGTAAAAGTGTAGTGTATATGTTCACATGAAAGAGACAATCCAGTAGAGCCTATGATACCTAAAGTTCCCTGGGTAACCATAAGTAGTACAACAGTCTGTTTAGTTTGGTACTGAGGTAAAATCTCTTGAATATCCTCACCATGGATATTAAAACAATCCTCCCCCTCCTAGAATGGAGTTCATCAGGCATGTAAAGAGAACTTGGAGGACATTTATATGCAGGTTTGATTGGTATTTAACCATGATTGGAAATGTTGGACAGCCCAAAAATTAAGTTTGTTTTTAAGTTTGTGGAAGGTGAGGAATAGACGAAATATGAATGTATTCGTGACAAATTGGAGAAATACTATATAGCCAAGATAAATGAAACATACAAATGTTTTGTGTTCAGAACAAGATGATTCCTGGTTGACTTCAAAAATCCTTATATGTAGCTATTAGGATCAAGTAGTGGAAAATCTGAGAGACCAGATTGTTATTGGGATTAATACTCAGAGATTACAAGAAAGAACTGAGTTAAAAGCTATAGAGATTTGTCATAGTTCTTAAATAGTGCAACACCAGATAAAAGCCATTCGTAGTGGATCCTCATCCAGTAAATCTGCTTAAAATTCTGCTCACATGTGAGAATGATCAAGAACTGTCATTTCCGTTCGAAGTCATGTTAAGTTAAAAAGTGCCATGAATATGATAAACTGTGTAATGATTGTGGTCAATTTCTGAATTCTGATAAGAAAATGCATTTCATATTTTGTTCCTTTCTATTGTTGTAGATATTTAAAATAAAATAAAAAATCTGAATGAAGGCTTCACAAGAAGCTTTAGGATACCATTTCAGGGTACCATTCAAGAATCAGAACCTAAAAACCTTCAGTTGGCCTACACACAAAATGAGGACTGTGTATTCATTAACGCCATCCCATAATGGAGAGGACCCGGTTTTTACTAAAGGAACCCCAAAACATAAAAATGAGGGGTCACTTGGACACAGTGGAATTAAAAAAAAATCTGATGAAAAAACTTAAACATCAAAAGATCTAATCACATTACCTCTGAATAAACTAATCAACATTGAACTTATCTCCCTCAAACACAAATTTTCTCTTGATATAGAAGTTTGATATTTCGAAATCGCCGGCCGTAACTCTGTGTAGTTTCGTGCAGTGTATTTCCAAATCTCGCTTGCGAGAGTTAAAATGGCTGCGCCCAGGGAATAATTTTTCTATTTTATTTATCTATTTTCTGAACGATAAGTAAATAAGCACTAGCAAATAAAAGCATGCCAAGGGTGAGGCAGTACCTCCCGATATGGGAGAGGGAGTTTGAGTGCTTGTATAGGGATGAGGGGATGAAATGCCGTGTGTGCACTAGATCTGGTAAAAGAAATGTATTCACAAAAACCGGAGGCTACAAAGATTACCAACACAGCTCTTTAACGAGACATGCTTTGTGGGAAGGGCACATTGATGCCTCCAGGCTGAGAGGGCAAGTTGTAGCCCTGCAAAGGGGCGTTGAAAAAATGGCGCAGAATGCTATGGATTCATTGATTAGTCAGCTACGCATAGCTCAGTTCCTTGCCACCCACCTTTTGCCGATATCCATTTTTAATGCAGAAGTAGAACTATGCAATGCTACTGGTGGAAATATCAATAATCCCTACACATCACAGGCCAAGCATAACGAATGATTCAATGTATATCTGAGGTCTTGGAAGAGTCAGTGATTAGTGAATTGAAGCAACGGCCCTTTTATGCAATAATTGTAGATGAGAGCATTGTCATTGGAGTGCACAAAAAACTTATTCTATATGGAAAATACTTTACAAATGCCAAATGTGTTGTCAAATTTCTTTCTGAAGTCAACATACCAAATGGCACAGCATTATCTATTAAGACAGCAATGGTTGAATACATGACTTCAAAGAACATCCAACAAGATTGTCTGATTGCCCTTGGCTCTGATGGTGCCCCAGTAATGCTAGGTAAATTTCGTACAATTTATAATTATCAGACATCATTTCTACCACAGATCTATACATGTATACTTAATTGTCAATTGTTTCATTTTTAAAAATTTTTTTTAGGACGAAGGAATGGTGTTGGTGAGCAACTGCGTCGTGAATTGCAGCCATCCCTTGTCCACATCAATTACTTGGCACATAAGATGGCTCTAGTTGTGTCCCATGCCTGAGAGAGTGAACGTGCTATTGAGACATATAAGGACATCATTGTGACGCTCTTTAATTATTTCAAGAACAGAGCTGGAAGGTATGCTGCTTTGCGTGAAATGCATGATATCAAGGATGAAAATCCCTTCCTTACCTTAAAATTCCCCTGCTACACAAGATGGCTGTCTCTCCATGGAGCAGTAAGATCTATCAATAGATGTTGGCAGGCGTTATGCATGACCCTAGAGAACATTGCAGCACCAGATACTTACTTCTAGCATTTTTCTTTCCTATTTTAAATGCGTAATACTTTTATAAAAATCAATTCAATACAACTTATACCAATGTCTTGATTAAATTCATTTCTTATCACATTAACTTAAGAGATGGTGCAGCACAGGATCGGGACATGGCTCTTGTCTCCTTAGAAAACTGAAGACCTTTAGTTTTGTTGCTACTACCTCTCTGTTGGAGGATGTGTTACCCAATGTCACACACGTTTCTCTAATACTACAGCGGGATGCTCTCACATTTGATGTATGTTAAGTAAATAGCATTTTGTAAATTTATAGTTTAAATTATCAAGCTAACAGTTTACAAAAATACTCCATGAAATGATCCTTATCACTCCTTGTTATAGGTTGTTGTTGAGTCAGTGACAGCATTAAGGGGCACTCTTACAGATATGATTAGGGCACTAGACACTACGTCAGAATACGCAGCACCTCAGGGACATCTTTCTTCATCAGAGATGTTAGTGAGTATTATACAAATATTGAATTCTGGAGTTGAATATCTGTATATATTTTTGAAGGTGTATTCACCGCAATCCGAAGGGCGAGGTGAATACATCCCTCAGAAATATATACAGATATTAAACGATCACAGAATTCAACATTTGTTTTTTTATTTCCTCATTAAAGTAGTACACAATATTAAAGTTAGAAGTACACATATTGTTATGATACATGTATGACGTCTAGTTTCAACGTATTTCCAAACGTTTGCCAATATGTGAATGTCATATCACACTGAGAATGAAATAAGAAGCCTTGAATTGTTTGTTGTCACCACTGATGGTAACAAAGAATCACATCATCATTTTAATGGGACCCCCTTTTTGAGTTGGACCCACTTTTTGAAAACCATTCCGTCCCATGGACCCACTCTGAAACAACCCTACTGAAGGCGCTGGAGGAAATGAAAGAAAATTTGAGCAAAATGTACAAGGACAGATTTTAGGTCAATTTTTGAATAAATCAAACAACTTGATTATTTCTCTCATTGGTTTGTACCCACAAAGGTTCCTAGGAAGTTCAGAAAAATTCAACACTTGTATGCCACGGTTCTGTTCATTGCCATAAAGTAAGTGATGCAGTGGAAATAATTAAAAAGTGTAATTTTCCAATGTAGCAATAAAACAATCAGGTCAGATAACTCCACAGTGTGTGTGATATTTAATAATGGGGCATCAAAAGACAAAATAGTAAGTAAGAAAGCTGGTAATACAATGCTTGAACAAAATCATTCTATTAAGGGCTGTACATATGATTTCTAGATAAACTATCACTCATTATCTACACTCGGGATATGTAAAAAAAAGATCAACTGAGGAGGATGCTGAGCAGTGCTTGCGCAGATTTTATGAAACGATTGTTTAATGCTCGCAAACGATACACTTCCTTCTCTGATGATATTCATTTTTAAACTTCCTATTTTTTAGTTACTAGTATATACAGAATGGATTCCAAGGAGTCAGCCACTGTTCAACCTTCAATCTCCTCAATCGCTTGACCACCTATGTTCTCTTGAAATACCGACAACTTCCAGGTGAAATATGTGAGAAAAAGGGAGACGCCACCTGTGCTCGTTCGATGGTCACCTAGGGTGAAGATAAATTTTTTGTTCTTCAGAGCAGGATATATATTAAGAGCAAATTATTCATTCATGCCGCATTAAAAAAAAGAAAAATGACAATGACTGCAAAAAACAGAGCAGGAGGGCAACCACTGGCTAATGGCAAGTGGCCCATGAAGTGACACTTTATCTCCGGGGTTGAGATAAGATGGATGATTGTGACACAATGATTGTATTCACCCTTGGAGATATCTCTGGAAAAATGTTTGGACGGGTATCTATCGAATATCCTGTGGCAAGGATATCTATTGACCATGGGAGGATCGATCTAAAAATAACTAAGATAAGTCAACTAATAACCTGCTGCACGTAAGTAAGGTTCTTGAGAATACAATACCTAGAAAAGCAAATTCACATCCTCCAGCTTCAACTGAGATGCTCCAAAGGAGAAGATATTATGTTAAGGAATGCTTTCCAAAATTTGTACAACACTTTTAACTACTAATCAGTAGTCAATATACCCTGGAACAAGTACAATGTAGCACCTGTTTTGATGTGATTCACTAATCAGATTAAAATCGAGCCAACACCACACCTACTGGACATAATAATTAAAATGGACACCCAACCCCAAGATACCCACAAAGACAAATCAAGGAATACCCCAAGAAAGACTCATTGTAAAGAAACTGTTATGAACTTTATAATAAAACTGAACTGATATTTTTGTACATACAGTAACTGCAACTGCCTTATCAGAGTTAAGCAGTTTATGTTTATATAACCTGCCAAAAAATAATTTAAAGGTCAATTGGAGATGTTGATCTATTTTATTGAAACAGGTGTGATTAATTATAATTCTTAATAAGCTTTGTTTTTATAAGACAGGATATTCATCTAGCATTGACTGCTTTGGAGATATTCAGTCAGACATTCACATTGACTCCTCATCAAAATGTAATATGTGTGGAAAAATGGGGCATTATGGGAGAATATGTCGATCGAAATCCAACAAAAAAAATGTCAGATAGGTTGAATGCAATGACAGTGACAACGTCATTGATGATATCTTCTACATGGAAAATGTTAATTTAAGAACAGTTTGATCTACTAATGTAAAACCTGGAGAATTTAGCAGTGAACAACAATATCATTGATTTTAAAACTGATACTTGGGCATGGCAGATGAGTCTGTGCACAATCATGATACCTATACTCCAAGCCCAAGTTGAAGTTCATGTGGGGTAGGTCTGTAACTAGTCTTGGGGGAGGATTTTATAGTGGTTGAAGATATAGTAGCAGAGTTGCCACATTGCAATGTGAACTATAAAATGCGGACTATAGTAGTCAAGAATAAAACTGATTGCTTGCTGAATTGAGTCGCAGCAGACAAAATGATCCCAGTGATTTGTAATCAATGGGTTAACAATGTTTGTGAAGAGAATATTAGTACCCCCGGAGATAATGTCGACAAAAAATATAAAATCTCATGAATTACCAATTATGAAATGTACACCAGTGACCATATCAATACATGTTGATGCTAAACTGTATTCACTTGCCGTGCCATGACGAATCAGATTGAATTTAATGAAACTGTGTCGGGAAGATCTAGAGAAAATGGTTCCATAACCATGCATATACCGGCAGTGTGGTTCTTTCTTAAGAGAACTACATGTATATGACTAATCGGAAGTTTGTCAATATGGAGACAATAGCGAAGGATAGAGAAATTATATACCTGTTGATAGTAGGAATGAAAAATAGAGAACTAACAGACAAGTTAAAATATATGGACTATTCAAAAATGTATTAATGTTTGTAGGGTCAAATCATCAATTGAATTATTAAATAAAAAAAAGTACACATAATATAAAACTATGTACAGAATGAACGAAACATATATTCAGATTGTGTAAATAAGGTACAGAGTTGTATTTCAGGACCTTAGCTAGCTTTTGGCAAGGGGGTTCATTTTAAAAAGAGTTTGAGGGGGCAGAATGGTAAAAAATGGAAGATTTTGAAAGAATTTTGGGCCGTAAGAAGAAGACACAGACTGTCAAAGTCATTGATAATGAATATGATACATGTAGCTCGAATGACAGCGAGAATACTGACTATAGTGATCAGGATGGACACACCTTATTCATAGGTTTAATCACTGATGATATTGACAATTCCACAATCACCCCTGATTACATTGATGATGAATAAGATACCGTCGATAGGTCCATCCAGGCGACCAATCCCAACAATGAATATGATATCATCGATAGGTCCATCCAGGTGACCAATCCCTACAATGAATACGATACTATCGATAGGTCCATCCAGGGAATCAATCCCGACAATGAACATGATACCGTCGATAGGTCGGCAAGCTCCTCAGCTGGGATTTCAATAGCAGGGGCAAGTGTCCAAATTTGCCGTTTGTTTTTGATAATTCACCGCTTGTCAGAAGCCAAATTCTCTGTAAGTTTTGGGGGGAAAGTAAAAGTCTTCTAGAGACTATCCTTTATTTTATTTAACGATCTTATTCTGCACTTTCCTTTATGATTTATACCTCCATTTCGAACTGCAATTTTCTGCAAAACTGCTGTATACTACTATAATTTAAGGGACATAAATCTAGTAGACATTTCTTGGAAAGTAAGGAAATTCAAATCACATGGTCTGAGAATCAAATATTCAACACACTTTGAAACTTTATTTACATGGTATGACTATGATACCACAATTTAGTTGCCTATTCACCACTTACCTTTATCAACCTGTATTACCCACATTAAAATTAATGACAAAAGTATCCAGACTAAGTTCTGGACTACATGTATAACTTACAACTCAGGGTCTACTCCAAATGTCAGTTAATGAAAAATTGATTTGTTCAATTCGAATTTATAAATGCAACCTGTGTAAAAGAAAATTATAATCTATTTTTGTAAGAATTGATAAAATTTGACATATAAGTTGCCAAAGTTATTCCATAGTTCCAGGTGTTATTTTGTGTAGCCCATCATGTCTTGTGGATGGACAATATCACACATGGAAATGATGCCCGTTCAAATATCAAAATCAATTCAGAAAATCAAAAAAGACTCTATGATGTCAAGTCAACTGGGCAACGAATTCATGTTGGTGATAAAGTGCTGTTACATGTCCCTGTTGTAAAGCCTGGGCATTTACCCAAGTTCCTCAATCCATGGACTGGCCCTCATGAAGTATCAGAAAAACTTTCGCATAATACCTTCAAAATTGTGACAAATAACAAAGCCAAAATTGTACATGAAAACAGACTCAAAAAGTTTCACTGGGATAGTTCCAAACCCTGAATCAAATGTAGAAAAACTAAGTGAATCTGAACATCCTAATTTTCAAAATGTTTTAAACCAAAATCAGCACACTGATTTTTCATCTCAGCCTACTGAGGTGCCATCATTAGATGGAGCCCAAGAATATCTTTCAACTGATATTCTCTCTCAGTCTGCTGAGAGACCTTTGGCCAGGCCAAGGAAAAAACCTGCCTGGTTAAAGGATTATGAAGTAGAGTTCTAATTATTTATTTTACTTGCAGTTCCCTTGTGATCAGAGGAAGCGACACGGGGTGAAGTGTAAGGCGATATTCCCATCACAAAGCTTATTAGATCGCCACTTGGAAATGTTTCACACCTTCGATGTCTGTAATGTCGGGGACTGTCGCGTAAAAATCATCAAGGGTAACCCAATCAAGATGCAGCGACATCGAACAACCTGCAAAGTTCGTATGGTAGCCAACAACCAGTTATTTCAACCAGAGGTATCATTGACAAGATTGCAAACCTTTGACTCCAAGGACTTACGTTCAGTGTGCCCCAAAGATATTTTCGATAATACTGAGTCGGACAACAAGACAATAGTCTACGATCCCTTGGCAAATATAAGTTTTGATGAAGTAAACAACATTCCCAGTACAAAAAAGTCAGAGTCCATTCCTAAAGAAACACACATTACTAAACAATGTGGTAAGTCCGAAGAACCACCAAAATCAGCTAACAAGGAAGTTAGCCTTAATACATTTATAGACACTTTCGAAAGTATTGTTGGACAAGATAAACCTATAGCTTTCTCCGTCTCTGCCAGAGACTCTCTTAAAACTGATTTGAAAGAACGACAAACAAACACCAACAAAGTTTCGAAGAAGTCTACGCATCATGATACATTCAAATCAAAACATAAGACAGTAAAATCAAAAGCAGCTCCTAAGACCACGGCAGTTGCTAAGAAGTCCGCTCCATCGTTGTCTCAAGATGTTGCGTCAGTTACTTCCAAGCGATCTCAGAAAACAGCTACCAAGAGACCAGTACCAGCTCCTGCTCATCAACCCGTAAAATATATCAAAATGGACATTGGGCTGGACCTGACTACAAAATCTACAAATAAAGAACCATCACCAACACAGAAACAAACTGATACTTTTACCAAGCAGTGCCATTGCAGGGACATATTACAGGAAATTGTCATACCCTGCCCTCACCAGGACAATGTGTATAAATTAACTGTGTTGAAGTTATAAATGATTGTTCATGATGCATAAGTAAAAATTAAAATGTTTTGAATTAGGCAGTCTCACTCGCTTTGAAAGTAATGTATTCATATTTTTATTTTCACATGTCCATGGAAGGACATTTTTTCAAGAAGAGGGGGGGGTAGTGTGACAACCACTCCAATCAATGTTTTAATCCTATCATATTTTTCAGCATTTATCATAATTCATTCAGTGGATGTCAGATTACCTTACCTTACTGCTGATCTTTATGCATTTGACAGACTTGAGATTGTTTTTTATTTTTTTACTTTGAGAAGATCAGTTTTGTTCACGATGCAGGCGGAGTGAGTGAGACTGACTAAAGGATGCATTACAAGGGAAGTATTTTTGTATTGTATATATTTTTTTATATTTATATTCTATGACTATCAACTGATATTTCTATTTCTGGGTTTAGCTAACTCACTTACGTTAAGTTTTACGACCTATTTTAGCCAATCGGGATACTTCTTTCTCTTATCCAATCAAAAGTCAGCTTACATAAAATCAATTGTCTCAGTAGAGCGAGGAACAAACTTAGCGTCTTCTGGTCATACTTGCGGGATCACTGACTGCGTCAGCACACTGACCAGTCTCAGACTTAACTTGCTGTTTAAAAACTTAAAGAATTCGGAATAATATGAATAATCTGACTCAGAAGTCGGGGGTAAGTACCTAGTCGCTTATTTTTTACTGCTTTTTAGGCCGAAGCCAAAATTTATGAAATATTTGTTGCGCAACTTTGCTGCGTCTGTTGAAATTTGTAAAGGTAATCATCTTTTGAGCTTCGGTTTCTCATCACTATTGAGACATCTGAGGTTAAATTTATGATTATTTTTGCATTTACAGCGTAGATTACATTCTGTGAAAACGACGCATTCCTAGTTTGATATTTTTTCCGTTTTGAGTGATTTGGAAACTTAGTGCAATTTCCGCCATCTTTTTTCCTTAGTTCGGAGAATTATTATAGTTTTTGCGCAGAGTTTTTTCACTCTTTCTCTTGCCATCGATAAATTATTTTTACAAAATCATGCATTTTGTGCCATAAAAAAAACATTTGTGTGAAAGCCGCACACTTTTATTGAATATTTATCGTGTATTTTTGAAACTAAACTAAAGTATTTCTCACAGTGAGGTCAGCCATATTGAAAATTGCTTAATATCAGTGTATTATCTTGCCATCCATGCTTTATTTTTACATATAACATATGTGAAGATAATAAGGCGAATGATTTTGTCGGTTTAGTTGAGTTTGTAATTGACATTTTTTAATATTCTGAAAGTGAATTGATCACTTTTTGGCAATTTTTCAGAATCTCAGATTTCTCCCAAGTAACAAGATTTGCAAGATATATTGCATATCTGTTATTTTTAGTACCAAGTTGAAGTCATATATCAGGCACAGTCTTAAAATTAGTAGTTTTATGATTGAAATTGATTTTAGTCTATTCATACACTCACTCTGTGGACATATCTCTCAGTGAGGGTATTTTCTCAATTTCACTATCTAAAGTATTGACTTTTTGGACCATTGTGCTTAAGGTCTAAGGGACAATATTTCAATACACTTTATATCTATCACACAGTCAAAAACAGGCAACAGCATCAGGCCGCATATCAGTTTCAAAAAGGACAACAGGGAGGCCCGTAGATACAGCAAGTACCAGCAGGCAGGGGCCAGCTGGACCAGCAAGGAGGACCAGTAAGGGGACTCGCAGGCATAAACCAACCAAGATCAGATAGGACACGGTGCAATGGGTCACTTTGGCATCAAAGTTGGACCAGCATTAGGACAACAGCAAATGGGTCATCAGATGGGTCTTCAAGGCATAGGCCAACAAGGACGTTATATGTTTCAGTAACACGTCAAGATAAAAAAAAAATTGGTGGGGCAACATTCGATTATCATTAGAATGTTTTTGTGGCATTTTTTAAACCCCCACCTAAACTATTAAATCAATTATCTTGATGAAATACTTCCATATATATGCTTGTAAGTATTTTCAGCTTTGCCATAGGAAACTCTAATAAAGATTGGAAGGGCACAGAAAACTAAACTCCCGTTTAGGCAATACAAACAATATTCTGTGTGACAATCATTAATAGTTTACTAGAAAAACATTATTAGAAAATAAATTAGATATAATTTCATTCTGCTACCTTTGATACCAATAAAGTAAAGATTGGTTAGGAAACAAAAGAATAACAATCCAAAATGTATTAACCACTTATTATGAGATTTGAAAAGTGGGCGTGTCCTTTGCATCCCTTTTCCATAGCAACGGAGGCACATTAGGAAGAAATTAATATCAGATCCTTGAATTAGAGGTCTCTAGCTTTAATTTGGTATATAACTTGTCTTCATACCTCTCGGGACTTTAAATTCCTTATTTTCACAAAGTTCCTACACGTCTACAGGAGTTCAAGTTTTCATGAAGAGGTGTAAACAGTGCAAAAATGTGTACAGATACCAAGAATCGAGAGAGGGGTTATACAACTACAACGATTCCCTTATACTGACACTTTGTGCATGTTGTACAATAACAGCCAATTTTCCTTAACAGTGCCAGTGTAAAAGCAGAAGTAGATAGAAGTGGTGCAAGGATTACACGCTTTCCCATAGAGAATGTCATACATGGCTCTGTGTCAAAACGATTAGGAATTCTACTGCAACATCTGTGGTTACCATCCTGAGGTACTTATATGAGATCTTGTCAAAAAACAATGCTTTGCTGTATGTGGTAAGTACATGAAGTAAGGATCTCAATTTCATGAGTATGCCTCATTTTTGGAAAATTGAGCCTCGATTATAAAAAAAATGGGTCCATATTTTCTAATATTTTTCTAATTTTCTAAAAAAGCCAATATTTTAGAGCCAAAAAATCAAAAATCTTTCCAGCAAAATTAGTCTCTTGTAAATTAACAGATCTGATAAAATAGTTGGAACAATTGGGAAAGAGTCAGATCACTTGCATTTCCCAGAAAAGTTTTGCACTGTCAGACATATGTAAAAAATCTTGCTTCCATGAAATACATATCATGCAATATCTTGATTCTATAACTGTAGATGCTGACATTATACAACCTTAGTCAGGATGTCATGAAACTGATCTAGACCCTGATCAGTTTTGGGCTGATGTGAAGATGCAAGATCTCTTGTTCAAGGTAATTGTTAAACATATATCAGAGAATAAGAACATTCTAGTAATGCACTTTCTTTAAATGAAAAATACACTGTAATTAGAAGATAAATATTCAGCAGAATCAAAAAAAACTTATAAACATTATATGCAATATAATGTCTTTATCTGGGAAAATTGGAGTCTAGCCATTATAGGGCCCCTTAAGCGTGGGTACAGAGACAATAGGAAGCGCAACCAAAGTTTGACCACTGTTTATAGATATTTTATCGCTTTTCTACGAAGTGAGCAAACTTACAGCAGCGTCAGCAAAATAGTCATGGTGATATTGGGGGACCAGGGTTTGCAAGGCCTACCTTCACCAGCCAATCAGCAAGCCCCTCCACCAAATCAGCAATCGGGACAACAGCAAGATCCACAGGAAAGCAAGCACCTCAAGGCCAACAGGCACCACAAATGCAAGAAGTCCAAAAAGGACAACAAGCACCGGAAGGGCAATATGCACCACAAGTGCAACATGCTCCACAAGTGCAACAAGCACCGCAAATGCAGCAAGCACCTCAAGATCAACAAGCACTACAAATGCAACAAGCACCGGAAGGGCAACATATACCACAAATGCAGCAAGCACCGCGAGTATAACAGCCACATCAAATGCAGGCACCACAACAGTTAGCTAAAAGAAAACTCAAAGGCCTAAGTCGGCAGAAAATTTTAGAATTCATATCCAGTAGTAAATCAAGGTCTGAATTTGAGCCCATATTTGGACATCATATCAACATGGCATATGTGGAGCCCCTACACAGTAAAAATAATGCGTTCCAAGATGCAAATCAGCTCATACTGAACTTTGGATCAGTCGCACTGATCCCAAATATATTTCCATATCTATGACAGTTGATAAATTACCTAAAGGATGCCCCCTTGAACAATACATTTCTACTTTGAAAAATATTGGTGCTAAAAGGTATGCCAGAAAACTCGTAGATGGTTTGACATGGACCGAAAAAATGAAGGATCTGAAATACAATCAGATTTACAGGTGAAGACAGTCTGTGATTAGTTATTCAGGTTTTTGTACTTTTGGGTCTTATTTTATTGCCACTGATCAATAAATATTCATATTCGATCATATAAACAAGTTTAGTAAGTTTTATATTACAAGCTAGAAATTTTTGGAAATGACCCCCGGCGTCTGTACGTTAACAGAGTAAGTGTAAAATGCACTTCGCTCGCAGGATCTTTTGATCTAGCGCATTGATTGACCTGATTTTTTCCATAGAGATTAAGCATATCCTTCCCCACAAAAATGAGTATGATCATTAAAATCGGACCATTAATAAAGAAATGAACGCTGGAAAACTGTTAATTTCGATGAATTTTTTGTTTCCCGCATTCATACAAACAAATCTTCAATTTAGCACGAATTGACGCAAAAAGCGTTCGAGGCAATACTAGAGATACCAGAAAATGATTTTATGCGAGCACATTTTCGATTTATAGCCCTAATTTTTAATAATTACTTACTGCATTTGACTATTGACAAAATTTGGAGTTTTAAAGATGGCTACGTTAGCGCCAATGTGAATTGACCAATAGGACGTCGCTTGTAACGTAATCCGGTAGAGATTTTCAACAATTTCCGGTCAACATGAAATTTCAGTTTTCTGTACATTTCGTTATTGTTCTGTCTATTTAATGATGAATCTTGCCGTATTTGAGTTGATAGATCGATACTTACTATCAATAAGCCGTTCCAAGTGCATCTGACAGATGCCTGATTTATTTATGGACGATAACGACGACTAGTTTGATGGAACAATTTGTTTGATTTTTGCTGAAAATCCAATCTCAAGCCCGGGTTTCAAGCAGACACAAGCAGCTTTACACTGAGGTAAATTGGTAAATAAAATACAATAAAATATTAATACGATATATATAATGATATGGTTATCCCATATTGAATTAATTGCATAAAATTGGAAAATTTCAAAGAAA